ATCGACAAAAAATTCCAGAATGTTAACTATCCCCGGAGAAAGTATATGGACATTACCAATGGCATTAAGAAACGCATCTTCGGTTTTCAAGCGGAAGAAGATGACCTGGAGCAACTAAAATAGAAAGCTGCGGAACACAATGAGATGATCGGAAAACTTAAGGGGAAGCTCACCGGCCCAAAAATAAAAAAATATTTTCGGTACGTTTTTATTTTTCTAAAAATATTGGGAAAAATTATCAAAAATCCAAGAAAATCAGTTTCTTCCTTAGATTTTTGTCAAAAATTACATGCAAAATATTTTTTTATCTCATAATGAAAAAAAAATTGGACTCTCAGAAAAACCGAAAACTTGATGTTTTGTGGTTTTTTGAGTCCAACTTTATGCCATAATGACTTATAAAACATGTTTTTGCACGTGAATTTTCTTTAAAAAATTAGAAAAAATGTGATTTTTTTTAGATTTTTGATACTTTTTTTCAATATTTTTAGAAAAATCAGAACGTAATTATTTTTTTCGAAGCGGTGAGCTTCCCCTTAAGGAGAGATTTGCTGATCCAGGTTCATCGAGAGACGATCAAATAAGGATTCTGACGATTTTGCCGAAATCTTGGTCAACGCAAACGGTAATGGACGAGTTTGAAACAAATAAATACATTGTATTGCAAGCTCGATGCTTGGCAAACGGGAAAGGAGTATTGGCCACCCCCAACAAAAGGTTAGGACACGGTTTGGATCCCGAAATTAAAAACGAGGTATTGCAGTTCTTCGAAAGCGACCAGATAAGCAGAGCCACGCCAGGAATAAACGATTACGTTTCAGTGAAGAAGGAAGGTAAGAAGATTCATTTTCAAAAGCGACTTTTAGTTTGTACATTGCGAGAAGCTTTTATTACATTTCAATAAGTTAGTAAAAATAGCATTGGATTTAGTTCATTTGCAGCACTAAAACCAAAGCATTGCAAATTACTAGGTAGTTCAGGTTCTCACAATATTTGTGTTTGTACCATCCATGAAAATATTAATTTAATGCTTCATTGTCTTAGAAAATATTCATTCGAAAAAGATATCAACCATTATTTTGAAGAAATATTATGCAGCTCATCATCCAGAACTAAACATTGTTATCTCCGCGAATGCGAACGTTGTCCAGGTCTCTCAGATTTTGAAAGAAGTTTTTCAGAAAAATTCGAGGAACAGGGTATGTCTGAAATATGTTTTGAACAATGGGTTTCAACTGATCGATGTAGTTTAGAGAAACTTGTAAAACCAGTAGATGGATTTTTTCCAAACATTTTGCGAAAAGTTTTATAAACTGGTATCCCATGATTATATTAAAGCTCAGCAGTCTAGTTTTTTGAGAAATACAAAAAATACTCTTAAAAATGGAGAAGTTGTCATAATTTGTGATTTTTTCGAAAATTATTCATTTGTTCTTCAAGATGCTGCCCAAAGTAGTTACTGGAATAATCAACAAGCTACTATTCATCCTTTTTGCATTTATTATTCAGAATCAGGTATAATTAAAAATTTAAGTTTGATCGTAATCTCTGAAGTTTTAAAACACGATACAATTGCGGTGCAAGTATTTATTTCAAAATTACTGACCTTTTTGTAAACAAAAATTCAAGTAAAAAAAGCGATGTTTATGTCTGATGGAGCTGCATCCCAATATAAAAATTGCAAAAATTTTGCAAGTCTTTGTAAATTTAAAACGAAGTACAGTATTGATGTTGAATGGTACTTTTTTGCAACTTCGCATGGCAAGGGACCATGTGACGCGATTGGTGGCACTTTAAAACGAATGGCAAGGAACGCAAGTGTGGCTGTAGAACACGAACATCAAATCACAAGTGCAGCAGAGTTATATGCATGGGCTAACCAGAAGAGTAATGATTATTTAACAAAAATGTCATTTTGTTTTGTGTCACAAAAGGAATACGAACATGGGGCTGCAGAATGGAAAAGCATTTTTGAAAAGGCCAAAACGATCCCAGGTACAAGAAAATATCACTGTATTGTTCCGATTTCCGAAAATAAAATATCAGCGAAACTATTTTCGAATGACGAAGAACTCACCATTCATAACATATAAAAACATGCCACTCAAAAGTTCATCAAATAAAAATATATCCAACGAAAAGGTTTATGTTCAAGTTATTATTATTATTAAAGACGATCGAAAGTAATAAATGTAAGATGCAAATAAAAACGCATGGGTATTTCATTTATTTATCTTATTTATCTTATAAGTTTAAAACCAATTTTCCAATAGTCTATTGGTGCAAGGGTAAGCTGAAGGTAAGTACATGCATATCTTGCAAAACTTATCATATTTGATGGACAATCACGTATAACTTATGAAAAGGGCATATTTTCTACAAAAAATTGATTATGATGAAAGTAAATTTGAAATATCTCGAAAACTGTTACATATAGGAAGTTTATCGATATGAGCATTATCGTTTGAAATGATTTTTATAATTATATACTGACATCAAACTGAGCATTTTGCCGTAAATAATGAAAGTTTCAAAAATGCCTTAAAAGTTGCTCTTAGAAAAACTTTTTTATTAAGAGTTTGTCCATCCTGGAGTTGTTTTCAAAACTTCTGCTTTCTATTCAAGTTTTTATTAAAAAAATATAAAAAAAAATCAAAAATACGTTTTTTTTTTTGTTATTTGAATTTTGAAGTTTATTTTAAATTTTTTTTTTGTAAAAAAACGAAAAAAAAACCGGGTATATTTTTTAATAAAGCCTTATTAGTTTCCTACAACTCCTTCTTAGTAAATTTTTTTCTACAACCAACTGTTTTCGAACTACATTTTTTTTAAAAGTATGTGTGCAAAAACACATAGGCCCTTTTCAAAAATTACCCTTGAGTCAAAAGGGTCTCATCTCCTGCGGAAAATACTTGGTCTATCATACTGAAAATATGTGCCATGTATCATCCAGATCGAAGATAGTCAAGTTTGGTGACTGACCGATTTGGCGTGGAATTGGTCTCCGGATATCCAGAAAGTTGTTCAATAACCACCAAATCAATATGCCACTGAGATATATCTTCTCAACTATGGGTTTTTCACATTTTCTAAGAAATCACGGATCTCTAGGTCTACTTTTAAGAATTGACTATTTTCAAGGTTATTTCGGATATTCAGAGGACCGTATTCTGGCCACCCGGTAGCAGAATCGATATGTTGATGTCATATTTCCTCTTTGCTAATGATTATATGTAAGTTAGAAAAAAAATGCGGATCTCTAGGTCTACTTACAGGATTTGACTAATTTCCCGATGATTCCAGATATCCAGAGGACCGTTTTCTGGCCACTTGGTTGCAAAATCGATGTGGTGATGGTAAAAAAATCGCGCAGCTCTAGGACTACTTTTAAGAATTGACCATTTTCCCGGTGAATATCAATATGTCACTGAGATATATCTTCTTAACTAAGGGTTCTTCACGTTTTCTAAAAAAGCACGGATCTCCAGGTCTACTTTTAAGAATTGACTATTTTTCTGGTGATTCCGGATATCCAGGACCGTATTCTGGACACTCGGTAGCAGAATCGATGTGGTGATGGTATATTTTCTATGATTGTATGCAATTTAGAAAAAAAATCGCGGAATTCTAGGTCTACTTTCAGGAATTTTGCTTTGCTCGGGACTTTTCCGGGTTTTTCCATTCCGACTGGCCAACCACAGATCCAATCGGGATTCTAACTATTCAAAATAAAATTAGATAGCCATATCTTTGGTGGCTGAATCATAACGATTGGTCATTGCATTGCTTAGAACCAGCCATGTCAACATGCATCGACACGCATTTTGCAGCCTTGGCCTTCCATTCATTTTGCTTAAAAAAATGTTCTATTAAATTATAGAATAATAAAATATTATAATGATATTTTGTATGTGTAAGCAACAAGAAAAGATTGTAATGTTTGTGTTTGACGCATAAAACCTGCAAATTTAGCTTTGGCAGAGTCACAATGAGCGATTTTCTAATCGCCGCTTCGCGAAGAGTGAAGAGTGGGTGAGATAAATGACAAAATCGCTTATTGCGACAATCGTGTAGCAAAATTGGCAGATATTATGAGACAACCACAACTTCACAGTCTTTTCTTGTTGCTTACACAAACAAAATACTACTATAATATCTTATTATTCTATAATTGAATAAAACATTTTTTTATCCAAAATGAATGGAAGGCACCCTGGTTAAAGGTTCATATTTCTTGAACTAAATTGTTTAAGTTTCACGTATGATTTTCTACATTCATTGAATATTATCAAAGTAAACCCAAATCAAAATACTGATGTTTGGTAACAAGACTAAAAAAATGCAAATGCACAATTTCCTTTAAAAATATTGTTAGTAAGTAATAATTAGTTAGTAATTGACTCAAGGATCCTCAGTACTAGTAAAAAAAATTAAAATGTTCATTGCTGTAGGTAAACAGTATTTTTTTTTTTTGAAAAAAAAAACTATAAATGTTACCCCGTTTTACGATATATGAAACCGGTTACGAAATTTACCTTTTGATTTTTTATCTTTTAGAAGTCAGAGTAGGCTTCTCAGGGGTAAAACAACAAAAAGTATAGTTCGTACCCGATTTAATGTTTTTCTTAAATACATTTGAAATTTTCGAAGTAAGGGACCATATACTTGTTACTTAAGACTTTTTCTAGTAATCGAACATTAACATGTTCTGTATTCATCCTGATGTCGTAAGGTATTTCTGAGATTCCCTATCTCCCTTGTAATAAAATGTAAGTAAATTTATTTTTTAAATACACTGGAGTCGCTTTTTACGCGGCTGATACGTCCCGCGTAAAAAAAAACCGCGTAAATTCCGGAATCCACGTTAAAAAAACCGTGTAAATTCCGAAATTCGTGTAAAAAAAAACCGCGTAAAAAGCGACTCCAGTGTATTACGTAATAAGCGCATGGTCCCTTAACCTCCGGCTAAATAACCCCCTACATTTAAAAATAAACTGTACCATATTTTCGTTTCTGAACGTAACCAGCAACTTTCTCGTGTGGCGCTGGTATAGTGACGTCGTAGAGTTGTAGTTGTTAATGAATCTCAAAGATGCTGGTTCGTAAGATGCCAAATCAGTGCAAAATCTAAGAAGAAAGACGCATTTGTGGAACGAATAGCAGATGACAACCAACTCTCTCATCTTTTCTAACCAGTTCTGAAAATAAAAGAAAAAAATAATATATAATTGCTGAGGTTGAAATCTTCATAGATATGTTTGAGTTTTTGATACATATTCAACTTAGTTTAATTTTTAATTTTTTTTTTCTTTATTTAGGAGATTTTCAGCCGTACACACTTAGAAATTATCACCGACCTCGGTAATGTTTACCGCAATCTGAACAACTGAACTTTTCGGTAAAATTTATGCAATTTAATTCAATTGCTTTTCAGCTATTTTGAAACTTTTTTTTTCTTTATTATAGAGACTTTCAGCCTTAGGCTGGTTCGTCTCTTATATTTTGAAACTAAATATCCACTAAAATGACAAGATTTTATCATTTAAACAAGGTTGAACATGTTTTGATACTATTTTCAAATTCAATAGCCTTTAAAATGAAGGTCAAAGTTTTACCGAATGTTCAGCCGTTCTGATTTCATTAAAATTTACCGAACACGGTAACAAAATCTTAGTGTGTAGCCTACCAGCCTGGTTCATCTCCGAACAACCTAGTTTTAATCCCTGCGAATCCGAGCTAACCGTCAGTGTGAACCACGAATCCTCAGGTTACAAGAACAAACCAACATACTGAAATTAGCCAGAGGCATTTGTTCTAGTACAGTACAATGTTCTTGAAAAAATTCAAGAACCAGATTCATTTTTTTGGGAAAATGCGTATTTTTCTTTGTAATTGAAACGTATGGGCTTTTCCTGTTTTTCTCCCACGGTGTCTCTAGATGAAAACCTTAACATAAAAACAGTACCGTTGAAACACCCACCAAGCGACAGTTTAGACTCACCCTTTCATATGAGGCTTGTATCAAAAGTTTCTATCTAGAACAATTTTTAATTTTCTCGAATTTTTCAGAACATTTTGAAATAAGCCTCAAATGAAAGAGGAGCACCTAAGAATACGTTGACCTACTACACAAGTGCGGTTCTATACGGTTCACAAATTGATCGTTTATTTTCGCTGTTCAAGCGAGGATTTATTTGCGATTGATTAGTGCCAAAAATCATTATTTGAACGTAAGTAGGTCCGGAGGTACAAATATTTAGTGAAATAAGCAGTTTAAAACTCCAAGTGATCTGCGATCAATTACGGAGTATAAAAGAAAAATAATATAATAATAATGGTATGCGGCGTATGCTATCAACGGAATTGCAAACTCCCGCCTTAGCGGCGCCGGTTCATGAGTTGATGGGTCCATAGGTAGGGTCCAGGTGTGGGAGCTGCCTCCCTGGCGTCGGTAGCATTGGTGCTCAGCACGGAAAACAAATCAAGGAAAAAAATCCCGCCTTGCATACAAGTTTATGCTGGATTCAATAGTCAGGTTAGTCTGTTGACATACCTAAGGTCACAGATGAAATGTTGTTTGTAATTATATTGAGTGGTGTTAACTATAAACAATATTAAATTTCACACATTTATTGAAGTGTGTACCGTGTCGTGCAACCGAAACGGTTCGTTTTCGCCAAAATGTTATTGAGTTATCAGCATATGTATACTATAAAGCATCAATAATAGTGTGTGCTAGTGCTAATACCAACAGATATGAGATAAGTGAGCGAGGCAACAAGGCACAATTGTTTGATTGTACACGGAATACACTGGAGTCGCTTTTTACGCGTTTTTTTTTTACACGGTTTTACGCGGATTTCGGATTTTACGCGGTTTTTTACTCGGATTTTTTTAATTTACCCGGTTTATCGTGATACACTGGAGTCACTTTTTACGTGGTTTTTTTTACACGTTTTTAACGCGTTTTTTTACGCGGATATTTCCGGGTTAACGTGGAATAACATTTATCGGGTGAAATGCCATTGGAGAACGGAGTCCCCCAAGGATCACTTTTGTCCGTCACGATATTCCTTATTGCGATGCAGCCGATTTTCAGAGTAGTGCCGCATTCTGTTACCGTACTTCTCTATGCGGACGATATTTTGCTGGTGGTAGGGAGGAGTAAGGAGCGTCCTCTGTATAGAGATCTACAGGCTGCAGTGAAAGCTGTCGATAAATAGACGAAAAGCGACGGCTTCAGAATTTCCGCGACAAAATCAGTCTCAACGCCCGTCGAGAACCCAGAAACGATATATTCATCGACCTCGTAGCTGTACCGAGGACGCTGTTGGCGTCAACCTTGACCGGTCGCTGTCCTTCAAACACCATTAAAAACCACTATAATCAAAACCACGTGCGACTCTAGGCTGCGGATCTTGAAGATGATCGGGGCTAAAATTCCGCGAAGGCAACGCGATTCTCTGTTGTGTATCGGATCAGCAATTGTCACGTAGCGACTTATCTACGGTATCAGGCTCGTCAGTAGAGCGAATGATTCGGTGGTGTAGACTCTTGCACCCATCTACAACCGGATGGTCCGATTCGCCTCAGGGGCGTACGTCACCAGTCATTGTGGCTGAAGCAGGCACTTTGCCGTTCGATCTAATGGTGATGCAAGCTACAAATCGTGCTGCAATTCGTTTGATGGAGAAGGATTCTAGAAATATCGATCTTCCAGTTGTGGAACGAGTATCCGATCGCCTGTCGGCGGTTGATGTGGACCTTCCAAACATCGCTTTATGGACACGTATCATCAACCGAGAGTGGTATGAACCCAAGCCGCATATTGTTTGGGATGTGAAACGGCAGGTGAAAGCTGAGGATCCCCCTAATACAGTGCATCCCATCGTGCAGGAGTTCCTTGCAAACCGGTTTAACCGTGCTTTGGTTATTTAAACGGATGGTTCTAAATGCGAGAACATAGTTGGAGCGTTATTCCGTATCGACCCGAGTAACACACTTTCATCACAAAAAGTTACAGCAACTTGTTTATGACTGAAATAAGTCGTATATAAGTTTCTACAATTGATTTGTGACAAGCGTGAAAGGGAGCGCTGAGCCAATTAACAGCGCTCGGTCTCTTCATACGATACCCGTTTTTTTATCGCGTTTCCATCGCTCTCGTGTTAAAAAAAGTGTTCAAGTGAATCGCGCACGGTTTTCGGAAGCAGCTATTGTAAGCTGAGTCTTACGTATACACTGTTTACCTTTACCCCAGTGCAGTGATCGATCATCATCAAATCATCACCATCATCATCGTATCATCTCCGTCAATAGCCGCATCGTGCAGCAGCAAACGGAATACCTAGCTTCACCGGCTGGTAGGTTGTTTACACAACCGGCATAAGCATTAGACAATACATTTTGCAAGTCCATTGCCTCCCTATTGTAGTTTTGTTTTGCTTCGTGGCGCGTGGCTCTGTCTTTCACCCCTGGTAAGGGAGTATGGCAACTTGTTGCAACTAGATATAAGTTTTTTTATCTCTTTAATTTGCTTGTACGCCGTGCAAAAAATTTAATTACACTGGAGTCGCTTTTTACGCGGTTTTTTTTTACACGGTTTTTTTTTACGCGGTTTTTTTTTACGCGGATTTCGGAATTTACGCGGTTTTTTTTTACGCGGATTCCGGAATTTACGCGGTTTTTTTTTACGCGGATTTTGGTTTTTTTTTACGCGGATTTCAGAATTTACGCGGTATATCGCTTTTTACGCGTTTTTTTCTTACACGGTTTTTTTTTACTCGGTTTTTTTTTTACGCGGATTTCGGAATTTACGTGGTTTTTTTTTACGCGGATTCCGGAATTTACGCGGTTTTTTTTACGCGGTTTTTTTTTACGCGGGACATATCACCCGCGTAAAAAGCGACTCCAGTGTACTAGTAATTAAAATTAATACATTGGAGAAGGTTTTTATTTTTTCCTTCTTAAGCGGTTGCGCACCGCTTTTGCGCAACACTTATGGCATCTTCCGATTTTAACGTTGCGCGAACCAGGTATTACCAACCACTTTCGAAAGGACCATGGGTTGTCTTTTTTCGGCCTTAAAATAAACCCTTGAAAGCTCTCGACATTTCGAGAGACATGCTGCGTAATCTTGGGAATCTTGGTACATAAGGAGAGATTCAACAAACTGCGTGTAGAAGCACCGAATTATGATGTAGCAAATAAAATTCACGATCACGAGTTGTTTAGTGTTGAGTACAACAGAAGATAGAAGGCGTGGTCTCCGACGCGAGTCTGTCTGTCGAGGACTTGAAACGTGCCTCGGGTTGTTTTAAAAAACAGAAAAGTCACAAGCGAGCTTGTAAAGATACTGGACGTTAGGCAACTGCATTCAGTATCTTTGCAATATGGCAAGAAAGTTTATCAGCATTCAGACTCGATTCGGGTGACTTTCGCTAGTTCAGTTCTCAAAAAACTTTGTCAAAGTTGATGGTGCTTTTTTTCCGGTGCGGTTGTTTGTACAGAGGGTTTATAATTGTACGAACTGCAAAAGGCTGGGACACTCTGCCAACCATTGCGGCAACAAAACTCGTTGTGGCAAATGTGGTGAAAACCAGAGAGGATTCTTGCCACAAAGAATCAGTAAAATGTGCGTACTATGGCGAGAATCCTCACCCCTTGCAGGAGTGCCCGATGTACAAGCAGCACTCCGATAAAGTGCAGCGTTCAATCTCAGGACGCAATTTTCAAGCGTTCAAGCACGTACGCCGTTTTGCATACTTGGTTCGCCATTTTTAATCTAGCCTTACTTATGAGAAGGGCCTATGAAAAATGTACATGATATCTTCAAAAAATTGTATCTCGGAAACGGTTTGTCCGATTGGTTTGGTGTCTTGGGCGAAGTTTTAGACAATTGTTGGTGTTATATGGAGAAAATATGCACGGTAAAAAAAAAGTTTGGTATTTGTGTTTTGAACTAAAATATAAATTTTCCCTTTAAAGTGACATGTCAATATTTTTTTATTATCCTTATGTTATAGCTGACTGAAAATGCTATCTAGTGCACAGTAGGTTGTTCTAGAGAAAAATAGGTTACAACGAAAAAAATTGTTTTTTAAAAAAATACAATTTTCAAAAAAGCTATTAAGAAAAGTCAAAAAAGTTTGTCACCCTAATTTTATGAAAGTACATCAAATTTGCAAACAAAAAGTAC